TGTACCATCCTGTCCTTTACAGTGGAACCTGATGACACCCCCCACATATTCACCCCATACCTATGGACAGGATTCAGCTGTGTGGCATGGATACTGGTCTCTGAAATCTTGGTCTCCCCACAAACTGCAATACTCCCAACATCCAAGTACTCTGGGAAAGAATATGGCATGGCCCTCTGGTGGAGCTCAATGGAGGTCATGCTCAGTGTAGATCACATCCCTAGATGAAGAAACTCATGGTTACAAAGCCCAACACCACAAAGAAAGGGGAGAGAGAGAAGTGGGGAAGGGTATATAGCTAGGTGGGTAGAGTACTTGCCTAGCAAGCATCAAGCCCTGGATTCCATCCCCAGCACCATGTAAACCTGGTGAATGCCTGTAATGCCTGCTGTATGCCTGTAATCGCAGCACTTAGGAGGTAGACCAAGGAGTCCATGGTCATCCTGGGCCACATGGTGAGTTCTAAGCCAGCTTCTGCCAACTGAGCCACGATGCCAGCTCCACATATTTCATTTCTGTCTACAATCTGATGAACAGAAGTGGACCATAGGCCCATACCACATGCAAGTGAGACACCATGGTTCTGGATATGTGCTCAGTTCTCCATTCTCCTCTTCTTACCTCTCTGCAACATGGGGTGATGCCAGCCTCCCATCTCTTTCCAACACAGTTCTGGGCATGGACCTGACTCTGGTTTCCTCCAGACTCCAGGTGTTACACTTTTGACCTGCTATAAAGTACTGAGAGTCCCCAACCTGGATCCTGAAACCCTCTCATCCCTCTCCTCCTACTCAGTACAGCCTCCTGTTGGCGCCACTTTGAAGGCCACAGTCACACTCAGAACTCAACATCTGTCCAGCCTGACCCTTCTTCTCAGCTTAAGACTCAGCCACCAAGACTGGGGAGACAGCTGTCCATAAAGCACTTGCCACACAAACATGAGGCCCCAAATTCAAATCCCAGAAACCAGGTTAAAAAAACCGGACGTGGTGGTACATGCTTGTAATCTGAGCACTGGGGGAGGTAGAGACAGGAGACTCTCATGACACACGTCTTTAATCCCAGCACTCAGGAGGCAGAGGCAGGAAGATCTCTGTGAGTTTGCAGTCAGTCTAGTCTACATAACAAGCTCTAGACTGGCCAGGGCTGCATAGTGAGATAAAAAAACAATGGGGCTAGAGAGATGGTTCAGTAGTTGAGAGCACTCATATGGCAGCTATCAACTGTCCATAAGTCCAGTTCCAGGGGATTCAATGCCCCCCTTCTGACCTCCATAGGCATTGCACACATATGGTACACTTACATACAAGCAGGCAAAACACTCATCATATAAAACAATAAGCCCAGGCGTGGTAGTGCACCCCTGTAGTCCCAGCACTTGGGAGGCAAAGGCAGGCAGATCCCTGTGAGTTCAAGGCCAGCCTGGTCTACATAGTGAGTTCCAGGACAGCTGGGGCTACAGGAAGAACCTGCTTCAAAAAGAAAAAACAAAACAAATAAACAAAAAAACCAACAATAGGACTGGAGAGATGGCTCAGCGGTTAAGAACACTGGTTGTTCTTGCAGAAGACCCAGGTTCGAATCCCAACACCCACATGGCAGCTAACAACTGTCTGAAACTCCAGTTTCAGGGGATCCGACAGCCTCTTCTGTCCTCCTTGGGCAGTGTACAACACGAGTGCACTTACGTACATGCAAGCAATATACACATACACATAAAATAAAAAATAATAAATAAAAATTAAAAAACAATAATAAATTAATTTTTAAAAACATGTGGGAGGCTAGAAAGATATCTCAGAGGTTAAGAGCACTGGCTGTTCTTACAGAGGAACTGGGTTCAGTACCTAGCACCTACATAGCAGCTAACAACCATCCATAACTCCAATTCCATAATTCAGGTCCACTAGACCTAATGTCCTCTTCTGACCGCCATGGGCATTGCACAACATTTGTACACTTGCATACATATAGGAAAACACTCATACTCATGAAAAAAATTAAATTAAAAAAAAACAGGTGGATAGTGTCTGAGAAATGACATCTGAAGTTGACCTCTAATCTTCTCATACATGTATGCAAACATACACCCACTGGACTAGAGAGATGACTCAGCACTTAAGAGCACTTGTTGCTCTTGTAGAGGACCTGGGTTTGGTTTCCAGCACCCATATGATGGCTAATAACCATCTGGACCTTCAGTTCCAGGGATCCAACACCCTCTTCTGGTCTCTGTGGGCATTGTGTACAAGGGTGCACTTATGCAGGCAAAACAATCATACACATAAAATAAAAATCATCAAAAAAAATTTTAAACATTCACCCCCATATACACACAGACACAAGGACACACAAAAAGACAGAGCCACCAAAGGGAAACTTGGAGTTGAGCCTGATGATGGATAGCTGTCTGACATCTTGGGGAAGCCCTAGGTAGGAAGATCATAAGTTCTAGGACAGCCTGGGGTTATACAACATGAGCATGTTTCAAAGAATTCAAAGAAAGAAAGCAAAAGTGGTCAAAATCGAGTTCCCCCAAACACTAACCACATCACAAGTGCTCAACAGCCACTAGGTCAATTGTGTCATGCACTGAACAGGGCAGATGACAGAGGAACTCCATCATCAGAGATGCTGATGAGCAGCTCAGAGCCTGGAGCCCAGTGCTGATACCACTACCACAAAGTCAGCCTCCACACCTGGGCCCACAGCCTCCGCCCACACCTGAAGATCCTTTCCCACACATGTGATACTCCAAGACCACTAGCCATGCACCTTACCACAGGGACCTTCTGTAAAGTGCTGATGGTGGGTGCCCTCAGGGACAGCCAGATCCCCTATAGTAGCCTGCCTAAGGTGATGGTTAATCTTGTCAACTTGATGGGATTGAAAATCATCCTTGAGGGGATAGATAAATAGATAGATAAAATAGGCTTGAGACCTGGCTTAGCAGCTAAGAGCACTGGCTGCTCTTGCAGAGGATCCTGATTTAGTTTCCAGCACCCACCTGGAGGCTAACAACCGTCCTTCCTCCAGTTCCAGGGGATTCGATCCCTTCTTCTGGCCTCCTCAGGCACTGCATGACAAGGGTGCTTTTACACACATACAGGCAAAACACTCACACACATAAAATTAAAAAAATAAAATAGCTCAGTTCAGTGGTGAAAGCCTTTAGTCCCACCTCTCAAAGGTAGGGGCAAAGCAGATCTCTGAGTTAGAGGCCAGCCTGGTCTACATAGCGCGAGTTCCAGGCCAGCCAGGGTTGCATAGTGAGACCATGTTTTCTTTTTTATTTAAAAAACAAAACCAACAACAACAAAAAAAAACCCCAAAGTCTTGGTTGGGTTTCCAGCAGGAGATTGACCCAGCCTTCCCAGGTTCCCTTGCATCCAGGCAAATCTGTAAGTTCGAGGCCAGCCTGGCCTACATAGTGAGTTCCAGGACAGCTGGGGCTACAGGGAGACCCTACTTCAAAAAGACAAAAAATAAAAAATAAAAATAAAAATAACAGGTTTGGTGGCACACACCTTTAATGCTAGCATTCCAGAAGCGGAGGCAAGCAGACCTCTGTTACTTGAGGCCAACCTGGCCTACCTAGAGAGTTCCAGACCAGCCAGGGCTACACCCTCAGCACTTCATAAACAAGGCATGGTGGTGGCCCACACATTTAATCCCAGTACTTCAGAGGCAGAGAAAGGTGAATCCCTGTGAGTTCAAGCACAGCCTGGTCTACAGAGCCAGTTCCAGGTCCACAGGGGCTACTCACTGAGGACCCTGTCTCAAACAACAAGAACAAGAAGATTGGAAAACATTCATCAATAAAATGGAACATGTAATTATTTTTAAATTAAAATTAAAGGCCAAGGAGACAGCTCAGCTGGTTAAGATCCTGGATACCAAGCCTGAGGACCTGAGCTTGTATGCTGGATAGCTTTAGTGTCAACTTGACACACCTGTGTTGAGGGAACCTCAGTTGGGGAATTGCTTCCATTGGACTGGCCTGTGGCCATGTCTGTGGGGTACATTCTTAATCACTGAGTGATGTGGGAGGGCCCAGCCCACTGTTGGTGGTGCCACCCCTGGGCAGGTGGGCCCATGTTGTATAAGAAAGACAGCTGAGCATGGGCCAGGAAGCAAGTCAGTAAGCAGTGTTCTTCCATGGCCTGTGCGTCAGCTCCTGCCTCCAGGTTCCTGCCCTGAGTTCCTGCCTTATGCTCCCTGATGAACTGTGATCTGGGACATGTAAGACAAAGAAACCCTTTCCTCCCCAGGTTGGTAGTGGTAAGAGTGTTTTGTCACAGCAACAGAGAGACAAACCAGAACAGTTTGATTCCCAGAATCCATATGGTGGAAGGAGAGAACCAACTCCTGCAAGCTGTCCTCTGGCCTCCACAGGCACACACAATAAATAGATGATGATAGATAGATGATAGATAGATGATAGATAGATAGATAGATAGATAGATAGATAGATAGATAGATAGATAGATAGATAGATAGATAGATAGATAGATAAATGATAGATGAGAGAGAGAGAGAGAGAGAGAGAGAGGAGCAGGAGAGATGGCTCAGCAGTTAAGAGCACTGGCTACTCTTGGAGAGGACCTAGGTTCAGTTCTTAGCACCTACATGGTGGTTAACAACCACCTGTAATTCCAGTTCCGGGGGATCCTACACCCTCTTCTGAACTCCACAGGCATGGCAAAAACGGGTGCGCTTACATTCATGCAGGCAATACACTCTACGCACATAAAATAAAAATAAATAAATCAAAACAATTTTTTAATTTAAAAAAAAAAAAAAAAAAAACAGCTCAGACAGGAAAGAAAACGTACTAAACAAAAATACAAATCCTCCAGAGTTGAGGCTCCTGGAGGCAACAGATGGGCCTGAGCCTTGCGCTCATTGGATCCTGATGAGGCCGGGTTGCGAGCCCTTTCCTTTGATTGGTTGCTTGCTCTCCTGGAAACCAAATCACCGGCGGTGCTGGGGGCGGGGCCAGGCAGGTCGGACTTCCCCCTCCTCCAGGTGCTCAGCCACCCGAATCATCCAAAGGGTATTCACGCGGTGAGTTCTGATTCCCCGCCCCCTGGAGACCCTCGCTGTGAGGATGATTCCCGGTCCACGCGCTGGGGTGATGGGGTGAGGGGCAGGTCCTCCTCTCCACGGAAGCACCCCCTTCCACCCCTTCCACCCACAAACAGCCTTATGGTCCCGTAGTGTAGAAGTCAGCTCCTGTCCTGTCCCCCTCGGAGTCCCTGCGGGTGACTTAGGACCGCGTCGTGATCTGACAGCCTCCTGGGCCTCTTCCCACAGGAGGATGGCTCAGGAGGAGACAAGGAGACTGCCCCAAGTGCTGGCCCGAGTCGGGGCCTCCCATGGCATTACTGACCTGGCCTGCAAGCTCCGCTTCTATGAGGAGTGGGCTCCAGAATACGACCAGGTAAAGTGCACGGGGGTCCTTGCCTTCTGGCCCAGACTATGCATCCCAGGGAAGCTAGGAACTGAAGGGAGACCTGGGAGAGAACCTTCCAGATGTGCTCCTTCAGGGACCTGCCCCTTTTAATGCCCTAGGACTAGCCCTCCCATTTGGGGGGTGGGGGGTGCTTGTTTTATGGGTTGTTTGTTTTTGTTTGTTGATACAGGGTCTCCCTGTAGCCCCAGCTGGCATGGGGCTGGCCTGGATCTCACAGACATCTGCTTGCCCCTGCCTGCTCTGTGCTGCAATCAGGCCTGTGCCACCATGCCAGGCTCCCTCCCATTCTCGACCTGACTCCTTTATCTGGCACCAAGGCCACCCCACCCTGACATTGCAACCAAACCAGGCACTGCTTGCAGGGGGCGAATTTGAGAGATCACCCCCCATAGACTGAGCAGCAGGCTGTACCTGCCAGCTTGAGCCCCACTGAGCTGGGGCCCCTTGACAGCAAAAGACACCTCAAGACTGCATCTCCAATTATTCCCATCCCAGCAGAACCCAAGTCTCCAACTAGCTCTGACAGGCCGGTCCTTAGACCACCAGCAAAGTGGATCCCCCAGATACTGGGGACACAAGAGAGTGTTAAGCTAAGTGCTCTGTCCCCAGGATGTGGCTGTTTTGGAGTATCGAGCCCCCAGCCTTGCTGTGGAATGCCTCAGTCAAGCCCTTCCTGGCCCACCCCATGACAACTTGATCCTGGATGTGGCTTGTGGCACCGGCTTGGTGGCTGTTGAGGTGAGACTTCCTGAAGGTCCTCTGCCCTGTGCACAGCCCCCATTTGCTGAACCCCAGGGCCTCCAAATTGTTGCCACCAAGCCACACCCCAGCCCTTCACCTGGGGGATTCTAGGCAGGTGCTCTACCACTGAGCCACACCCCCAGCCCCTCACTGGAGGATTCTAGGTAGGTGCTCTACCACTGAGCCACACCCCCAGCCCCTCACATGGGGATTCTAGGCAGGTGCTCTACCACTGACTCACAACCCAGCCTCTCAGTAAGGGATTCTAGGCAATCACTCTACCACTCTATCATGGCCCCATCTCCCCCCCCCCCAATGTATGAATGTTTTGCCTACCTGTATATAAGGGCACCTGTGTCATCCAATGCCTGCAGAGGCTGGAAGAGGGCATCAGAGTCCCCTGGACCTGGTGTTATAGATTGTTGTTAGCCACCATGGGGATTTTGGGAATGGAATCTAGGTCCTCTTGAGAGCAGCCAGTGCTCTTAATTTCTGAGCCATATCTCTAGCCCCGGTCCTCAGTCCTTTTTTAACTGTCTATTTTGAGATAGTTTCACTAATTTTCCAAGGCTGGCTTTGAATTCATTCTATAACCCAGGGAAGCCTTGAACTTGTGATCCTCCTGCCTCAGCCTCCAGAGTAGCTGGAATGACAGATCTGAACCACCACACCTACTGCTCAAATTTCCTGCCATCCCTTGACCCTCTACCTCTGACTCATGAGTCCCAAAGTACAAGGACCCAGCTGGGCAGTGGCAGTGGATGAGCTGTAACTGAGACTCATTTTTTTCCCCAGCTGCAGGCTCGGGGCTTCCTCCAGATACAGGGTGTGGATGGCAGCCCAGAGATGCTGAAGAAGGCCCAGGCACGTGGCCTATACCACCACCTCAGCCTCTGTACCCTGGGCCAGGAGCCTCTGCCCAGCCCTGAAGGTACTTTCCCTTCCCCTCCACCCTCATTCACCTTTCCTAAAATCTCAACCCTCTCTCTCACCCAGCCTCCATCTCTCCTGCCAAGTGCTAGGTGAGCCTGCCTCACTCTGCCCTCGAAAGTAGGATCTGTAGTCATTCTAGGACTACTGGTATGCCATCTCTTGTACCCAGGCCCACTGTAGTAAACTGACCTCTAGCATAGCCTGAGGCCACACTATACAGTATGCCCCTCATAACTTGTGTTAGTCAGTTACTGTTCTTGTAGCTGTGACAAAATTCCTGGCAAGAGCAACTTAATGATGAGGTCCCACTGGCCTCTGAGATGCTGCAGGTGTTTAATAATTGCTGAGGGGTAGGGAAGCCATTCTTTTCAGTGCTGTGTCCCTGCAAATGACCCTCCACCAAGCTCATGCAAACCCCAGTGAAACGCAGTAGTTCACAAACAGAACAAGGCACAGAACTAGAGGAGGCCTCAAGAAAAGAAGGGGTTCAGCAAGAGTGGGGAAGATGAGCTATGAAACAGGGGGTGAAAACATCCCAAATACACAATATATGTGCATGAAATTGCCAAAAATTAAAAATGTATAAAAGGCAACTTGGGGTGGGGGCTGAAGAGTTGGCTCAGTAGTTAAGAGCACGTTCTACTTTTTCTAAGGACCCAGGTTTGGTTCTCAGCCCCTACGTCAGAGAGTTCACAATCACCTGGAACTCCAGCTCTGGGGAATCAGACACCCTCTTCTGGCATCCACAGGCCATGCTTACAAGTACACTTACGTACTTGCACACAAAACACTCATGCACATAAAATAGAAATAATAACAAAAAATTAAAATTAAAATAAGGGGTGCTAGACATGGTGGTACACATCTTTAATCCCAGCACTTGGGAGGCAGGGGCAGGCAGATCTCTGTTAGTTCAAGGCTAGCCTGGTCTACATAGCGAGTTCCAGGCCAGCTGGGGCTACAGGAAGACCCTGTCTCAAAAAGGAAGAAAAGAAGAAACTGGAGAAATGACTCCATGGTTAGGAACACTGGCTGCTCTTGCAGAGGACCCTGGTTTGGTTCCCAGCACCTATATGACTGTCAACAACCATCTATAACTCTGGTTTCAGGAAATCTACCCCCCATCTTCCTCCGTGGCATTGCATGCATGGGTGCACTTACATTCAGGCAAAACATTCATATGCCCAAAATAAAAATAAATTAATTAAGCCAGGCGTGGTGGCGCACACCTTTAATCCCAGCACTCAGGAGGCAGAGGCAGGCAGATCTCTGTGAGTTCAAGGCCAGCCTGGTCTATATAGTGAGTTCCAGGACAGCTGGGGCTATAGGGAGACCTTGTCTCAAAAGAAAAAAGAAGACTAAATAAATAAATATAATTAATTAATTAAAATAAAATCTTTTTAAAAGACTTTTAAAATTTTATTTGTATTTTATATCTATGAGTATTTTGGCTGTATGTATATATGTGCATCCCATGCATTCAGTGCCCAAGGAGGCCAGAAGAAGGCATCAGATCCCTACCATGTGGGCCCTGGGACCCAAGTTCCAGTCCTCTGCTAAAACAGCAAGTGCTCTTAACCACTGAGCCATCTCCAAAGCCCCAAACTTGATTTTCAAAGGGAATGTAAGGAAGGAAGGGTTTACTCTGTCTTACAGTTTGAGGGCACAATTCATCATGGTGGGAAGGCATGGTGGCACAATGAGGAAGCTGCTCACATGGCATTCACAGTCAGGAAGCAGAGAGATGAATGCTGGTGCTCAGCTCACTTTCTCCTTCTTAAAAAATATTTTATGTGCCAGGCGTGGTGGCGCACACCTTTAATCCCAGCACTCAGGAGGCAGAGGCAGGCAAATCTCTGTGAGTTCAAGGCCAGCCTGGTCTACATAGTGAGTTCCAGGACAGCAGGGGCTACAGGGAGACCCTGTCTCAAAAAGACCAAAAAAAAAAAAAAAATGTTATGGGGCTGGAGAGATAGTTCAGCGGCTGAGAACATTAGTTGTTCTTGCAGAAGACCTGGGTTCGAATCCCAGCACCCACATGGCAGCTAACAATTGCCCATAACTCCAGTTCCAGGGGATCCGACAGCCTCTACTGTCCTCCACAGGCATTGCACGACACGGGTGCACTTACCTACATGCAGGCAATACACACATACACATAAAATAAAAATAATAAAAAATGATAAATATTTTAAAATATATTTTATTTATTAATTTTTATATTCTGTGTACGAGCTTATTGCCTGCGTCTGTAAGTGCACCCATGTCATGCATTGCCCATGAAGCTCAGAAGAGGGTGTCAGATTCCCTAGAACTGGAGTTGCAGACGGTTGTTAACTGCCATGTGGGTGCTAGGAATCCAACCTGGGTCCTCTGCAAGAGCAGCTAGTGCTCTTAATCACTGAGCCTTCTCTGCAGCCCCAGCTTTCTCCTTTTTATTCAGTCCAGGACCCCAGCCCATGGGATGGTATTCCACACATTCTAGATGGGTCCTCCTACTTCAGTTAACCCAATCTAGACACTGTCTCACAGATCTGCCCAGACCTAGATCTTGTTGGGTTAATAATCAGTATTAACTATCACATCTCCACTCCACACACAGGGACCTTCGATGCAGTGATCATGGTGGGGGCCCTCAGTGAGGGACAGGTGCCCTGCAGTGCCATTCCTGAGCTCTTAAGAGTCACCAAGCCTGGTGAGTCACAGCCCAGTCAGCCCTGCTTCCCAGACACCCGTTTCCCCTCTCCACAACACAAATCTTGGAACCACTCATGCCAAGAGAGTGTAGATGTTGCTCAGGGCTACCCAGCCCAGTCCAACCTCCCAGTTCACCATCTACCAGCTCAGCACTCCACCACAGTTGTCACAACAGAGGTGAGCACACAATAAGCCAGACAGGTGACCTACTCTCCTGTTATCTGTGGGCACCTGGGAGCAGCTCCATCTTCAGTGGCCTTTGTACTTGTTCATGTACCAGATTGATATTGTCTCCCAGATGGATTCTGTCCCCATTGGACTACAGCGGCAGTTGGATACATTCCTATCACTGAGGTGCTTTACTTCAGACCTGGCACAGGGTAGAGGTCAGTTCAGCTCTGTTTTCCAGTGTCCTTACTAATTCAGGAAGTGTCCTTGATTCCTTTTGCTAGTCTCGATTTCCTAGGATAGGTCCAGGTCTCCTCATGTAACGTGACCATGGGAGGAGCTTTGGTCAAGTCTGCACATTGAGGAGATACGCAGGCTGGAGGGTTCTTTTTCTTATGCTCCTAGAATGGAACTCAGGGCATCAGGCATCAGGGCATAGGCAGCCCACAACAGCCTCTCCCTTACTAGAAATTGCAATAAGGCGCTCTACCACTGAGCCATGCCCCCAGCCCTTCCCTGGGGGATTCTAGGCAGGTGCTCTACCACTGAGCCACACCCCAGTCCCTCACTGGGGGATCCAGAAAGGGCTATGAGGGCTCAGAGCTCTGATTATGAAGTTTCATTTTAGGACTCAGAGGAGACTTTCTCAGAGACAGGAGGGGAGGATTTCTTGGAAGAAGTCACCCACTCAGGAGAAGAATGGAGAGACCCTAAAGAGGCTCTGCCTGGCCTGAGGTCAGAATCCGGAAGTTGAGAGATAAAAATACTTCCTCTGTCCCACACCCTCTCCCAAGCCCTGTAACTGTGGCTAAGCCTAGACTAGTCTAGGCAGGATTTTGTTTCAGACCAACAGAAGCAGGGACATGGGCAGGTCACTGGTGACAGGGCTGGGCTCAGAAGCACCAGAAGTGCCCTCTGCGTGAACGTATGCGGGACAAGCTCCCCTGTTTCCAGCCGGAGCCCCCCTCTTTCAGCTGTGTGCCAGTCTTCCTTACCTCAGCTTCCAGAAACCAGTCCTGTACATGGGGTCTTCTCGGTGTCTCCTTCCACGGGCATGAAGAGGCCATACTGGGCACACTGTTACTGCTTGGACTCGGGACAAGGTCCTCAACTCCCTAATCCCTTTTAGTGATGACTTGGTGACTCAGCGAGGCTCTTTTTTTTTTTTTCTCTTTCGATAGCGTTACTGGAGTTGTTGGGATCAGACCTTGCCTCCCCTACACTATCCCCACCCCACCCATCCACCCCTATCCCTGACAGCTCTCACAAGCCAGACTCAGCCACTCATCCTCAATGGGTCTATTAAAACTAAGTAACAGGGCTAGAGAGATGGTTCAGTAGTTAAGAGCACTTGCAGAGGACCTGAGTTTTGTTCCCAGCATCCACATGGCAACTAACAACCATATGTAACTCCAGTTCCAGGGGATCCAATGCCCTCTTCTGACCTTCGAGGGCATTGCATACACAGGCACACTTACATACAGGCTGGCCAACATCTCATACACATAAAATAAACATAAGTAAATTTTTTTTAATAAATCTTAATTTTTTGTATATGTGTGTATTGCCTGCATGTAGGTAAGTGCTCCGTGTCATGCAATGCCTGTGAAGGTCAGAAGAGGCTTTCAGAGCCCCTGAGACTGGAGTTACAGATAGTTGGCAGCTGCCATGTGGGTGCTAGGATTCGAACCCAGGTCTTCTGCAAGAACAACCAGTGTTCTTAACAGCTAAGCCACCTCTCCAGCCCTGTAAATTTTTTTTTAATCAAGTTATAGTTAAAAGCAGAGAAAGGAGATTATTCAGTGTGGCTACATTGGAAAGAGGAACAAAGAGGTTCAACACCCACCCTCAAATCCCATCTTTAGAGTCCTTTAGAGATCAGGTTTAAATAGAGAATAAGAGGTCTGCATAGCTGAGCAGTCCTGGTCCAGCTGTGGTCCCACTCATCACTGACCCATCACTGTCTCAGGTCCAGTCTCTCCTGCAAGGTGGCTGACAAGGTGTCAGAACTGTGTACGTTCTCTTCCTGAGAGACAAGGTCCCCCTCTGGCTGTACCAGGCTCCAGCCTCTCCCTTCTTCCTGAGTGAGACTCCTGGGGAAATTCCAGGTTATTTATTTATTTTTTATCTTTTTGAGACATGGTCTCCTGTAGTCCCAGCTGGCCTGGAACTCACTATGTAGACCAGGCTGGCCTCGAAATCACAGCAATCCACCTGCGTCTGCCTCCTGAGTGCTGGGATTAAGGGCATGTGCTACCATGTCTGGCCCATTTTTAATTATTTTTTTAATTATGTGTATATGTGTGTGTATGTGTATGTGTACATGTGTATAGGTACCTAGGGAGTTCAGAAGTTGGTGTTGGATCCCTTGGAGCTACACTTACAGGTGGTTCTGAGTCGCCTAATGTGGGTGCTGAGAACTGAACCTCAGGTCCTCTGCAAGTGTAATATGTGCTTTTAATGTCTGAGCCATCTCTCCAGCCCCACTTCCAATTTCTTGAGGACTATCATTTCAATAGTCTGATAGCCAAAGAGAGGAGCACAAATGTTTCTTTTTTTTAATTATTTACTTTTATTTTATGAGTATGAGTGTATTGCTTGCATGTATGTAAATGTACCCATGTCATACAATGTCTGCAGAGGACATAAGATCCCCTGGAACTTGAGTTATGCATGGTTATTAACCTGATGTGGGTACTAGACCCAAACCCAGGTCCTCTGCAAGAGCAGCAAGTGCTCTTAACTACTGAGCCATCTCTCCAGCCCCACAAGAGTCTCTCTTCAGAGCACCTTTATTCCTGTCAGGATGGTTACAAACAGGTCTTGCTATGTAGCCCAGGCTGGCCTGGAACTCCCTATGTAGACCAGGCTGGCCTCCATTTCACTGAGATACATCTGAGGCCTCAAATTTTTTATCTTCCAGTCTCCAAAGTGCTGGATTTAGGCCTGAGCTGCCATGTCTGGCTCTGTGAATACATTTATGTGTGCACACGCACCTTCCTGAGAAACAGAATTATCATCCCTTTTGCCTATGAAAACTTAGTCTCAAAAAATGAAGGGTCATGCCCGGAGTTTGTGAGCTTTCTTCCTGTTCCCCTAGACCTAGAACAGTCTTTCAAAGGGGCTGTGAATGTACACGAGAACCAGGCCTGGGGGTAGGGGCCTGTCATCCCAGCTACTCAGGAGAATAAGGTAGAAGAACCACAAGTTCAAGGCTGCCTGTGAGATAGAGTAACCTCCAAGTTACCCCAGGCAACTTAGCAAGATCCTCTCTCAAAATAAAAAGTAAAAGAAGGGCTGGGGATGAAGCTCAGTGATAGAGCACCTGCCTGGAATCCCCCAGTGAGAAGCTGTAGTATGGCTCTGAGGTAGAACCATTCCCTGAGAATGTTTGTGGCCCAAGGTTCCATGTGCAGTCCTGAAAAAAAAATGTAAGTGGTTGGGGCGGCGGTCCATAGTAATGCATCAAGTTGAAGAAACGTGTTCCTGGGGGAGGTGACTGGAGCACCCATCCCTGGAGATGGGATATGGGCCTGGGATTTGGAGCCCTGAGAGGCACTCCCCCACACTCATGCAGTTCACCCGCCCCTCCCCCAACTCTCCTTAGGTGGGCTGGTGTGTCTGACAACCAGGGCCAATCCTTCCAACCTTCCCTACAAGAAGGCACTAGAAGCCACCCTGGACTCACTGGAGCACGCTGGGGCGTGGGAACAACTGGCAGCCCAGACAGTGGACTGCTGGGAACTGGCCACCTCAGAACTGGAGATGATGCCAGGCACCAGCACCAAGGATGGTTTCATCCCAGGCATCATCTACCTGTACCGAAAGCAGAAGGTGGCTCAAGGGGAGGGAGGGAGGCCAGCTCCCCAGCCCCCAGCTGGTCTTTGATCTTCCATGCATGGCCTTACCAAGCTGGTCTGCAGGGCCTTCTGGGCTCTCTCTGTGAACCCGATCCCCTATTACATCCTGCCCCTTAGGAATGCAGTGCTGAGTAAACTCCCAAAGGGCATGAAAAGACTTGCAGTGTTCCAGTTCTTTGACCCCAGAAAACAGGGACATGGGACCCACACACAGATACACATATCTTTCGATGATTCAGTGGTTAAGATGTTTGCTCTGCAAAGCTTGAGAACCAAAGTTCATATCCCCAAATCATGGGGTTATAGGCACCAGTGTAACCCCAACGTTGAGGGACAAAGACCAGTGGATCCTGATATCCAGGTAGCCTAGCCCAAGCAATGAGCTTCCAGTTCAAGGAAAGACTCAGTACCAAATGGATAAGGCAGAGAGCACAGAGTGATGGAGAGGAAGGGGAAGGCACCTGACACTTTTTACCCACTCCCTCATACATGGACCATACACAAGAGACACAGAAAGAGAGAAAAAGATCTGTCCACTGTAACAGAACCAAGCTCATTCTATCTAGCACCAGTATGACAGTCCTTGAAGCAATAAGTTTTGCAAGAGATAATTGATTTATGATCAGTGAGATGGCTCAGCTGGCAGAGGTACTTGCCACCAAGCCTGTACAGGTTAGCACATTTACTGACCTGACCTCAATCCCAGAGACCCATACAGCGGGAGGAGAAAAACAACTCGCAAAAGTTGTCCTCTGACCTCCATACAAATGCCTTGGAACAAGCATACTCACAATAATTAATTAAAATTAATTAATTTTAAAGAAAGAACCGGGCTGGTAAGATGTCTCAGCAGGTAAAGGCATTTGCCACAAAAGCCTAGTGACATAAATTTGATCCCTGGGACTCACACAAAGTTAGGAGAGAACTAACTGTCCCACAAAGTTGTCCTGTGACTTACACACACATGCTGTGGCACACATGCCCACAAACATGCATCACATACACACACACACACACATACAGGAGCTAGGAAAATTACTCAGCCTGCAAAGTACTTGCTGCATAAGCATGAAGACCTGAGTTCAGATCCCCAGTATTCATGTAAGAAAAGCCAGGCATGGGCTGAAGAGATGGCTCAGTGGTTAAGAGGGATGGCTGTTCTTGCAGAGGACCTGGGTTCAGTTCCCAGCACCCACATGGCATCTAACAACCATCTGTAACTCCAGATCATAAACAGCCCAACATAGTGGCACATGCCCTTAATCCCAAGACTCCGGAGGCAGAAACAGGCATATCTCTGTGAGTTCAAGGCGAGCTGGGGCTTCAGGGAGACCCTGTCTCAAAAAGACCGAAAAAGAAAAAAAAAGATGGAGAAATGGGCCAGTGCTTAGTGGTGTAAAGGAATTTACCACCCAAGTCTGAGACCTTGAGTTCAATCCCAGGGAGTCACATGGTGGAAGGAGAGGACTGACTCCCACAAGATGTTATCCAACCTCCACATGGTCCCCATATGGTCAAGAAAGATGACTTCCTCAGACTTCTGAGTATGTGTTAACAAAGAGCTCTTCATAGGAGGCCTGTTCAGAAAATTGTCCTGTTACCCTGATCTGAGGGTAAACTTTGTGACCCTGTAATGTCAAAATATCAGTCATCGGATCCTGGCAAACGCCCAAGAAAAGAGCTTGGTGGGTGGCTTTAACCAGTTTGAACCAGACAAGGCTACCTCCAAACACTTATTTAAGAAGTAAACTATTGCCGGGCGTGGTGGCACACGGCTTTAATTCCAGCACTCCGGGAGGCGGAGGCAGGCGGACCTCTATGAGTTCAAGGCCAGCCTGGTCTACATAGTGAATTCCAGGCCAGCTGGAGCTACAGGGAGACCCCGTCTCAAAAAGAACCCCCCCCAAAAGTAAACAATTGTTCCCCAGTTAGCAAAGCACCAGAGATGTTATCTGTGGTCAGGCTAGCAGGGGTGGACTTGCCTTTCCTCTGAGTTACAAAAGCAAGAACGTGGATCCTGTAATCCTAGCCCTTGAGAGGCTAAGGACAGGGACTTCAGGCTAGCCTGCAACAAACAGCCATAACTTGCTGGGTCTGGGTTTGCAGTCACGTGAGAGGCTGAGGCAGGAGACTACAACATTCGAAGACTACCTGGGCTAAGAGTGAACATTTAGTCAGACCCTGTCTCAAGAAGCAAATGAAGCTGGGTGGGCCTGGTAGCACATGCCTTTAATCCCAGCACTCCAGAAGCAGAGGCAAATGTATTTCTATGAGATCAAAGACAGCCTGGTCTACATAGTGAGTTACAGAACAACAAAAAACAACCAAATAAACAAAAGAGCTGGGGATGTGATTTAGTGGTAGAGCACTGCCTAGAATCCCCTAGTGAGGGAGTAGGGCATGGCTCAGTGGTAGAGCACTTGCCTAAAATCCTCTAGTGAGGGGCTGGGGGCATGGCTCAGTGGTAGAACGCCTGCCTAGAATCCCCCAGTGAGGGACTGAGGGTGTTGCTCAATGATAAGGCTCTGCCTAGAATCTTTAGGGGTTAGGAGTGTATCTCAGGGTAGTATGCTTCCCTAAGGCCATGGGATCTATGTTTAGCACTGAAAAATAAAGACCCTGTCTCAAAATAAGCAATAGGAAAAAATGTTCACTGGTTTGTTTCTTTGTTTTTTTCATAGATATATATAGTACAACATGGGTGCCTGCATGTAGGTAAGTGTACCCATTTTGTACAATACCCATGGAGGCCAGAAAAGGCTGTCAGGTCCCCTGGAACTGGAGTTACAGGTCTTCTGCAAGAACAGTGTTCCTAACCGCTGAGCCATCTCTCCAGCCCTTCTTTTTTATATTTATGTTTGTGTGTGTGTGTATACATGTGCCATGGTGTACAAGTGTCTGGAGGATAACTTGGGAACCATGTGGGTTCCAGTGCTGGGACTCAGTTCATTGGGTTTGGCAGCAAGACCCTGAGCTATTTCGCTGGCCCAAGAAAGGAAGGATCTGACTTTTCTCTAGTTCTGAGACAGGATCTAATGCAGCCCAGGTGGGCCCCTCCCTGGCTGAGGCTAGCATGACCTTGAAGTCCTGATTCTCCAGCTGCCCCCTCTGGAGTTTGTAAGGTTCCTTTACAGACCTGTGTGCCTGCGCCAGCTCCTTTTAGGTAGTGATCCTACCTAAAAGGATCAAACCCTACCTTTTAGGATCAAACCCAGGGCCTCAAATATACTAGGCTGGCCTTCTACCCATGTAACTATATCCCTAGCACCTGGGTTTTTCATTTTTAGCAAGCAGGAAGCTAGGGTGTTGCTCAGTGGTAGAGCCTTTACATATTGGAGGTCTCAGATTTGATTCTAAACCCCACAGAGGAGAAAAATTAAGGAGAAAAAATAAGCTCAAGCCTGTTCCATAGTCTCACATAGTCGAGGCTGGACTCAAACTGGCTATGTAGCAGAAGATGATCTTGAACTCATGATCCTCCTACCATCGCCTCCTGTGCTGAGATTATTCCACTTGGCAGAGAGAACTGACTTCCACAAGTTGTACTCTGTTCTCCACAGGTATGCTATCGTGCATATTCACTAACACATACTAGCTGGCCATGTGGTTCAGTTGATAGAGCACTTGCTCAAAGCCCTAGGTTCCATTCTCAGCACATAAAACTGGGCATGGTGGGAAGATTAGGAATTTAAGATCATCCTCAACTACATAGCTAGTTTGAGAGCAGCCTGGGCTACATGAGACCTTTTCTCAAAATAACAACTAAAGAAAAAATAAAAGGGATGGGGAGGCTGGTAGTTATACCAAACTCAAGGTGTGGCCCAGACTGCCCTGTGGTGGTATAGCTGGTATAGCAGGTGAAAGGACTCAGGGTGACTATCAACACTTGGGGATTCTGAGACTGTGGGAGGACTGTCTGGGAGGAGGCTCCAGGTGGGACCTACAAGCCCAGCTGGATTCTGTAGCCAGGAAAGGACAATCAAAGCAAGAATGTGGGTGGTGTGGGGAAAAGCAGGCCAGCTGGGCTGCTCAGGCAAAGCCTGGACCTAAACAAGGGCAGGGACAGGTAGCCTCACCCCAGAGCTGGGTGTTACCTTCTATAGTCCCTCCCAGTATCCTACCCCAACCCTTCCCCAAGGGGTCTGGGACACACTACATCTAAGAGGAAGGGTTCCCCTCTTACAAATGAAGGGTTCACTGGGAATGGTGGTACATTCATGAGACTGAGGCAGGAGGATTGCCTTGAGCTTGAGGACAGCCTGGGTACATACTGTGACCCTGTTTCAAAAGTGAAAAAGCACCCTCCTGCAAAAGCATGTGTTGGTTCCCTGTAAGAATCAGAGACAAGATATGTGGATTTGGAGAAATCTGGGATGAGCTTGCTCCTCAGTCTCAAAATCAACCATCCCACATAGAAATAAATAAATAGACCAGGCGTGGTGGTGCACACCGTTAATCTCAGCACTAAGGAGGAAGAGGCAGCTACATCTCTGTGAGATAAAGTCCAGCCTGGTCTACATAGCAAGTTCCAAGCCAGCTAGGGCTACCAAGAGACTTTGTCTCAAAAACAAACAAAAAAAACAACCAAACAAAACAAAATTTAAAAAAAAAAGCAGCCAGGCATGGTGACTCGGACCTTTAATCCCAGCACTTGGGAGTTACTAGAGGATCTGAGTTCAAGGCCAGACTGGTCTACCTGGCATGTTCCAGGTCAGGAAGAGGGTCACATACTGTGACCCTTTCAACAAAAAAAAAATAAAATAAAATACAGGAAGGGGTGTTTGGGGCTTTAATAAGGTGATCTCCAGAAGTTGGGACTAGCTCTAATTTTTACAATTCTCTAAACTCACTTTTTGAGACAGGGTCTCATGTGGCCCAGGCTGACCTCAAACTGAGGATAGTTTAAGAGGTGCTGGGGTTGGAACCCAGGGCTTCATGCATGCTGACAAGCTCTACCCACCCAGCCACATCCCCAGCCCTTAAAATCACCTATCTTCTGACAACAGCAAAGTCCCTAGTGGACCACCACCCACCCCTCTAGCCCTGTTCCATCCACAGATACAATCAGAGACAACTCAGTCTTCCTGTACACAGGTGCCATTTATTGTAGAAAATAATAATTATAGCAGTGAACAGATTTGCTTAACTTACAAAACAAGTGTCCAGAGAGAAGACAGGGCAGAGGGAGCCCCAAGTCTCCCCGTGCCAAGCCATCACTCCCTAAACCTTTGGCAGGCTGGCCAATGCCCCCAGAAAAAAGGTAGGGAATTCAGAGGTACAGGCCTCAAGGGGCTCAGGCTTCTTCTCAATGGGGGGTTGGGGAGAGTCCTAAAGCCAGGTATTAGCAAGACCAGACCGGAAACGGGGTGGGGACAGCCTGGACTGCTTCTCCGTCGCCAGACCCTGCACTCCCCAAACCAGTTTGATCCACCTCCACCCTTCCCTCAAACCCGTCCTTCCACTCTCTCAGAGCTCCATTCCAAGCGCAGGTGGGTGGGCAGCCATTGTCAATCACAGTGATTCCCTGGTGGAGCCCAAACAAGCAATTCTGATGGCCCACCTGGTCATCATCGATCACAGTGACTCCAGGGAGGACCAGGTGTGTCCAGGTACACAGAACATGATGGCAAGAGAGGGGCTGGAGTAACAGATGTGGGCAGAGAGAGTGAGGAGACCAGTCAGAGGTGCCAGCATGGGTAGGGCACTCACCCAGGATCTGACCTCTCCCGGCTGGCTAGAGCCAGCTCCCCTCTCCACTGCCATACCTGGCTGCTTCTCCCTTCAGCCCGATATCCCTGAACAACTTGGAGGTAGGCAGGCAGCATGAGAGTCTGTTTACATCCATCCTTGTGGGATAAAGTGTGGGAGATGGTTTCCCCAGGGCTGCTGGCCTGTAGCATGGCTTTTAATTCCTGCTTGTCCATCCCTCCAGTAGCCAATGGCCCATGACAGGACAGTCCTGGGGAATATAAGGGGTCACCGGCTGTGAGCTCAGTCCAAGAGGAAAAAAAAAAAAATCAAAGGCAATGAACGATGGCAGAGCAGAGTGGCCCACCTTACACATAGTTGCTGGCAGGTGCAGAGCGAGCTGCAGAGTACTTGGCCGAGTAGGGCTTGTCGTTAGAGCGGGGTGGGCAGTTGCAGCACAGCAGGGCTCCTCCCAAGAGCAACAGCCCAGAGGCAGCCCAGCCAATGTAGAGAGAAGCGCCCATCTCCCTTTTCTGCCCAGCAGCCACCAGAGGATTGTAGAAATCTCGGATGACATTGTGCGCCGTCCAGGACACGGGCACCATGGCCAGCAAGCCAGCCACACATAACACAGCGCCGGCCACGATCATGGTCTTGGCCTTGGTGGTCTCGTCCTCCATGCAGTTGGTACACTTGCCCCCAACCACAGACAGAAGCATCCCCAACGCAGCCACGATGATGCAGATGACTATGAGCGCTCGGGCAGCCTGTAGGTCCTGAGGCAGGGCTAGCAGCGAGTCGTACACCTTGCACTGCATCTGACCGGTGCTCTGCACCACACAGTTCATCCACAGGCCCTCCCAACTGGTCTGGGCCGTGACGATGTTGCTGCCGATGAAGGCTGTCACCCTCCACATGGGGAGTGCACAACTGAGGATGGCACCCAGCCAGCCCAGGACAGCCAGAGAGATCCCCAACACTTGTAGGCCCATGGACGCCATCACCTTGCCAGAGTCAAGGTCGGTGAAGCCAGAAAGAGGATCCTTCTCGGGAATGTACAAAAGTTGGAGGTCTGAGAAAGCTTCTCTTTGGTAAGACTCAGAGACACAAAGATGCTCTTTGCCCAGACAGCTCTATCCCTGGGCTGCAAGTTGCAATCAGGTTCGGAAGCAACAGGTGCTGCAGTTATAGTACTGAGGAGGAGGGGTGGAGACAGAGGGAGGGGTTTCAGTCCCCGAGGCCACCCCGTGACCAGTTTCTCTGGATTCCTGAGCCCCAGCCAACAAAGGCGTTCTGAGGCCCAGATCCTGGATCCCTGAGTCACCAGCCAGTATCACAGGAAACTACCTACCTTCTCCCCCAGCACCCCCAGGCTCTAACTGAGGTCAACCGAGAGACAGACACTGAGTCATAGCCAGGGGCACCTTGATGCTCATGGGGTGGGGACACCGTGACTGGCAAGCTGCTGTGTCCAGGGGCCCAAGACTCATTCCAGGACCCGGTAGGAGCAGAGGATGGAGACCCTCTCCACAAGGGAATCTGTCCTGAGGATGTCACAAAGAAAGAAACCAGGTCTTGGTTGTTGTTGCTCTTACCCTATTGATTCTATCAATGCCATTATAGCTGTTATTGTCATTAATATGTCAGCATGTGCACTTTGCCTCACCAGCGGCTTTCCTATTTTTGGCCAGAGACCGGTGGGTGGCAGGAACCAGATCACCCAACATCCTCATTTCTCTCATGTGTCTTCCCCACCCAGCTTGCCACCAAGTCTGACCACCTGAGTTTGATCCCTGGGACCCACATGGTGGAAAGCAAGACATGACTCCCACAAGTTGTCCTCTGATCCCCATATGTGTGCTGTGGCATGCAAACACACACACACAAAAATTAATGTCATGGAAATTTTTAAAAGAGGGAGGGGCTGAGCATAGTGGTTATGCCTCTAATCCCAGCACTCAGGAGGCAGAGTTCCTGGCCAGCCAGACCTACAAAGTGAAACCCTGTCTCAAAAACAAACAAACCTGCGCTGGGTGTGGTGGCACACTCCTTTAATCCCAACAGCCTTTAATTCCCACATTTGGAAGGCAGAGGCAGGCAGAGCTCCTTGAGATGGAGGCCAGCCTGGTCAAGTTCCAGGCCAGTTGGGGCTACAGGGAGACCCTATCGAGGAAAAAATAAATAAATAAAACAAACAAACAAGAAAGCAAGCAAACAAACAAACAAAAAAAAAGAAAACAAGAGAGAGAAGAAAAAAGAAAATTCTGTCTGCCTCCTCTTCTAGAGGCTGAACCTACTAGGCTAGAACTGAGTGGGGAAGAATAAACCCCAGTCAGTCCCAGGAGACATAATCTGCCCTGTAAATGGGTGTTTACTCAAAGGAGACACCTGGAGCCCTCCTGATAAAACCTGAGTACAAAGTCTAAGAAGAACTCCATCCGCTGTACAGAGGGGGAGCTCAACAGGGCAGATGTGTTTCCAGGCACAACTCTAGGGGATGCTGTTTTTGAATTATGCCCGAGGTACTAGTACCAAGATACCCAACCCGGCAGGTCTTTGCAAGGCAGTGGGACTAGGTCAAGGGAGATTTAAAGGGAGGGGACAGCAAGAAGGTGGGGGAAGGAAATATGTTTTCCAAAGCAAGGAATCTAGTTTGACCAGAAGCTGGCACGCCAAGGGATGGAGCCAGAGGGGGAAAGGTCAAAATCTGTGTTTCAAATGTTCCCTAGCTCTGGCCTGTGCACTGAGGACAGAAAAGATCAAGTCTATCCAAGGGCAAGCTAAGGGACCCCTGTGGATTCCAAAGGCATTTGGAAATAGCAGGGAGAGACGGAGGTTCACCTTAGAGGGGGAAGGGGCATGGAGGAGGGGGTTCGAGGAATTCCTCCAACTGTCTCTCAATTTAATTAAATTTATTTAAGGTTTTTGTTTAGTTGGTAGTTCCTTTTTGAGACAGGGTCTTCCTGTAGCACCAGTTGGCCTGGAGCTCACTTTGTAGACCAGGCTAGCCCTCAGTCTCACAGAGAGCCACTTCCCTCTGCCTCCTGGGCTGGGATTAAAGGCATTTGCCATCAAGCCCAGCCCTATGTATTTATTTCTGAGATATTCTCCTGTAACCCAGGCTGACTCAAAACTGCTTATCAGCCAGGCCTGGTGGCGCATGCCTTTAATCTCAGCATTTGGGAGGCAGAGGCAGGCAGATCTCTGTGAGTTCAAGGCCACCCTGGTCTACATAGTGAGTTCCAAGACAGCTGGGGCTACAGAGAGACCCTGTCTCAAAAAGACCCCCCAAAAAAATTCCCTATCTAGCTGAGGATGACCTTGAACTTCTAATCCTCCTCCCTCCACCTCCCTAGTGCTGGGATTATAGGCATGTACCACCATGCCTGGTTTATGCAGTGCTGGGGATGGAACCCAGTGTTTTGTGCATGCTAGGGAAGCACTAAGCTACTGAGCTACAGCCAAAGCGCCAACCTTGAACTTGTGTTCCTCCTGCCTTAGCTTCCCACATGTTAGAATTACAGGCATCTACCACCATGCCTTTCTGTGTCTTTCTTTCTACCACACTGGGAAAACACCACAAGGACCAGTCCCCATAGTTCCCTGAACCGTAATCGCTACCCAGAACCCCGTCTGCTACCCTTGGTTGCTTGTGTGTCTAATTCTGACCCAAACAGACTCAGGGGTTTTTTTTTGGTGGGGGGGTATTGTTTTTGGTCTTTTTGAGACAGGGTCTCCCTCTAGCACCAACTGGCCTGGTACTCACTATGTAGATGGGACTGGTGTCAAACTCACAGAGATCAGCCTGCCTCTGCCTCCTGAGTGCTGGGATTAAAGGTGCTGTGCGACCATGGCCAGCCCAAACTCTACCATCTTTTTAAAATTTTGCTTTTTGTTGTTTTGAGGCAGGAGTAGAGGGCTAGGGGAATAGGAGTAGTATCTGATTAGGTAGCCCAGGCTGGCCTCAAATTCTTGATCCTCCACCTCATCCTCCCCAGTGCTGGGATTACAGGTGTGGGACACCATACCCAGTTAATGCATGGTCTTTGAACTTTTATTTATTTATTTTTTATGTATATGAGTCTATTGTCTGCATGTATGTAAGTGCATCCATTTAGTGCAGTGCTCGTGGAGGACAGAAGAGGGTGATGGATCCTCTGAAACTGGAGCTATGGACAGTTGTTAGCCACCATGTGGGTGCTAGGATTTGAACCCAGGTCCTCTGCAAGAGCAGCCAGTGCTCTTAAACTGCTGAACCATCTCTCCAGCCCCTCTTTTTTTTAAAAAAAAAAAAAGATTTATTTTATTCTTGTTTTATGTATAAGAATGTTTTGCCTGCATGTATGTGAGTGCACAATGTGCCCACAGAGACCAGAGGAGGGCATCTGATTCCTGGAACCGAAGTTATAAATGGCTGAGAAATGCAACGTGGGTGCTGAGAACTGAACACAGGTCCTCTGCTGCAAGAGCAGTCAGTGCTCTTAACCACTGAGCATCTCTTCATCCTGTCTTTGAGCTTCTTTTTTTATGTATGAGTGTATTGCCTGCATGTATGTAAGTGCACCCATGTCATGCAAAGACTTCAGAGGCCAAAAGAGGGCATTGATCCTCTGGAACTGGAGTTACAGACAGTTGTTAGCTGCCATGTGGGTGCTGGGAATCAAACCCAGGTCTTCTGAAAGAACAGCAAATGTTCTTAACTGCTGAGCCATCTCTCCAGCCCCATTTTTGAGCTTCTTAAGGACTATCTTTTGCCATGCTATGAGGGAGACTCAAATAGTATGAGTGCTCAGCACTTGGGGTGCCCTGGAGACCCACTCTAGACCACCTAATGAACCCCCGGGTTGACAGAACCAATGGATCTGGGAATCTACCACAGATGAAGCAGTTGAGGGCTTGTTTTGTAGTTAACCACATACCCTCCGTCTCCCCTTCTGGGCTAGGGGCTCATGGAGCCCGGAACAATGTCTTGTTCAACTTAAGCGCTCAGGCCAGGCATGGTGGGACACACCATTTGGGAGGTAGAGGGAGGAGGATGGCCACAGACCATCCAGACCAGCCAGGTCTGCATAGTTAGTCTCTGTCTCAAATAAAGGGGCTAGAGGATGGCTCAGGGGTTAAGAGCACCAGCTGTTCTTCTGGAGGACCTGGGTTTGCTTCCCAGCACCCACATGGCAGCAAACAGCCATCTGTAACTCCAATTCCAGGGGGTCTGACACCCTCTTCTAGCCTTTGCGAGCATTGTACAAGGGTTCACTTACATACATGCAAGAAACACATAAAATAAAAATAAATAAATAATGTACACAATGGTTCATATGTGTAATCCCAGCACTGGGGAGGTTGAGGCAGGAAGATTGCTATGAGTTTGAGGCTAGCCTGGGCTCATAACAAAACTCTGTCTCACAAACCCAAGAAACAGCTAGAATGTAGCTCAGCGGTAGAGTACTTGCCTGACATTCAGAAAGTCCTGGGTTCCACCCACATAAACCAGGCATGGTGGCACACACCTTTAATCCCAGCATTCAGGAGGCAGAGACAGGCAGATCTTCTGAGTTTGAGGCTAGCCAGTCTTTTTGAGACAGGGTCTCCCTGTAGCCCAAGCTGTCCTGGAACTCACCATGGAGACCAGGCTGGCCTCTAACTCACAGAGATCCTCCTGTCTCTGCCTCCCAAATGCTGGGATTAAAGGCATGCGCCATCACGTCCAACTGGTAAGGGAGATTTTTTTAAAGGAAAAGATGGGTGTAGAGGTGCACACCTGTGATACCACAGGTGGAATGATCACAATGTTGAGGGCAGCCAGGTCTCCACAGTATCTATAACAGCCAGGGTTACACAGCAAGACCCTGTCTCAAAACAAACAAAAGCAAGTTGGGTGCCCAGCAAAGGGCCTTCACACAGTAGGTGTGCAGCAAAGGGCCTTCACACAGTAGGTGTGCAGAGGATGTGTGAATTCGGAATGCAGGGGGCATCTCCTGTCTTCCAGGCCACCTTCCTGCACCTCCCCCAGGTGGGAAATACCAGCAACACAAACAGGGATAGTTTCTGTCTGGACCACACCCCTCGGGGTTTTCCATAGAAGGCTCTGAGGACTCTCTCCGAAGGCTGCAAGCTGAGCAATCATAGAGATAAACAGCAATCCTACCAAGCTCATGAATGATCTCACCCAGGAACATTGTCACTCTTTAGGGCAGGGAACTCCTGGGGACATCAGCACTAAAGGGTAAACTGAGGCCCAGAGAGGAAAAAGCTTGCCTAGCTAGG